AATATTGACCCTTGATAGTTCAACTCTCTACAATATTGACCCTTGATAGTTCAACTCTCTACAATATTGACCCTTGATAGTTCAACTTTCTACATCAATATTGACCCTTGATAGTTTAAATCTCTCCAACATTATTAAACCTTGATAGTTCAACTCTCTACAATATTGACCCTTGATAGTTTAACTCTCTCCAACAACATTAAACCTTGATAGTTCAACTCTCTACAATATTAACCCTTGATAGTTCAACTCTCTACAATATTGACCCTTGATAGTTCAACTCTCTCCAATATTGACCCTTGATAGTTTAAATCTCTCCAACAATATTAAACTTTGATAGTTCAACTCTCTCCAAAATTGACCCTTGATAGTTCAACTCTCTACAATATTAACCCTTGATAGTTCAACTCTCTACAATATTGACCCTTGATAGTTCAACTCTCTACAATATTGAACCTTGATAGTTCAACTCTCTACAATATTGACCCTTGATAGTTCAACTCTCTACAATATTGACCCTTGATACTTCAACTCTCTCCAACAACATTGTCCCTTGATAGTTCAACTTTCCACATCAATATTGACCCTTGATAGTTTAACTTTCTCCAACAACATTAAACCTTGATAGTTCAACTCTCTACAATATTGACCCTTGATAGTTCAACTTTCTACAATATTGACCCTTGATAGTTCAACTCTCTACAATATTGACCCTTGATAGTTCAACTCTCTACAATATTGACCCTTGATACTTCAACTCTCTCCAACAACATTGTCCCTTGATAGTTCAACTTTCCACATCAATATTGACCCTTGATAGTTTAACTTTCTCCAACAACATTAAACCTTGATAGTTCAACTCTCTACAATATTGACCCTTGATAGTTCAACTTTCTACAATATTGACCCTTGATAGTTCAACTCTCTACAATATTGACCCTTGGTAGTTCAATTCTCTACAATATTGACCCTTGATAGTTCAACTCTCTACAATATTGACCCTTGATAGTTCAACTCTCTACAATATTGACCCTTGATAGTTCAACTCTCTACAAGTATTGACCCTTGATAGTTCCAACTCTTTACAATATTGACC